TTCGCAGGGCGGGTTGGAGCACACCCTCTGCGCGCTGGAGCTCGTCTGGCCCGTGCTCATGTTGGAGGACGACTGGGTGGATGTGTTGGTGGTACCCGTCACGTGGGTCTCGCAGGGCGGGTTGGAGCAAACCTTCTGGACTCCCCCCATGCTGCTGGACGCTGTGGTGGCCGTGTTGGTCGTCCCGGTTTCGTGGGTCTCGCACGGCGGGTTGGAGCACATGCGTGGCGTCGACATGTTTGATGAAGCCGTTGTGGCTGTGTTTGTTGTGCCCGTTTCGTGCGTCTCACAGGGCGGGTTGGAGCACACTTGTCCTGCTCCCATCGCAGCGGAGGCGGTGGTGGCCGTGTTGGTGGTGCCGGTCTCATGGGTCTCGCAGGGCGGGTTGGAGCACACGGTGCCTGAGCCATCGCCAGACGCTCCGGCTTCAGAGGAGCTGGGCTGCTCGGAGGTGGGTGAAGCCAGGATGGACACTGGTAGGTCCTGCACTGGCTGAGCTTCAACACCGCTGGGAGTTGTGATCAGAGTCACCTGGGTGGGCTGGTTCTGGGCCGAAGAGACAGTAAAGATAAGTTCTAAGAGTCCCACAGCATGTTTCATACTCAATTAGGAAATATTATTACAGGTTCATACACTTTTTCACCAAAAAAAATTACTCTTCTCAGCGGAACCACTGAAGATGGTTTATTTGAACATGGAACAGGAAAATAAGGTCTGCATATGAAACATGTTGGTCCTATCTAAAACAAATCAAATAGTAGGCTTACTAGCTTCTACACGCTAAAGCCACTAAAATATCTCACCAGCAAAATACCTCGACAGTTAAATGCCATTTTACGTTTCATTACTATACGATACAGTATTTATTATCATTATAGTATTACTATTTCGGCGATTAGATCAAATATAAATTATATTTGATGCAACTTTAATTACATTTCCATGACTTTTCCAAAACTTTGGGAAAAATATTGTTTTCCATAACTTTTCCAGGGCCTGGAATTTGCATTTTGAATTTCCATGACTTTTCCAGGTTTTCAATGACCGTACGAGTCCTGTGTAACAGAGTATTCCTACACTCTGGTACTTCTACTTTTACTAAAGTACAAGATCTGAGTACTTCTCCCACCTCAGATTTGTAATATGACAGGTGTATTTCTGGGATAATGTTGTAGAGGCATTGGAGGAATGTAGTCTTTATCTGTGACTAAGTTACATCATTGGTTGAGTTGAGTAAGAACATTGCACCATTAGCTGTTGCTCTGTCATAATATTTAGGTGCAACAGTGTTTCAGCTGGTAACTAGTGTCCACAATCAATCAGCTGATCCACTTCCTCAATACACACCCGGGTGTTCTTTTTCTGTAGGCCAGTCAAATGTTTGATTTTATCCATCAATGTTTCAAACATGATCAAATCTTGTAGTCGTAAGGGGTAAACGCAGTTTGGTGAATATGTAATCATTTTAATAAATGGAATATGTGAAAAGATAAGTATAGTGTAGGTGTAGCTGTGTAGTTAGTTGCAGAGAGGGGTTGCTGTGGCCCAGGGGTATGTGGGCATCTACCAAAGGGAGGCTCAGTGGTTCGACCCTCAGTCCGTGCAGTCAACATGTGAAAGAGTCTTTGGGAAAGATACTTAAACCCCCGTGTTGTAGGCATTTCTACGGTATAGAATGGTATACAGTACAGTATACAGTGTGTTTAAGTCGAATAAAAGCGTCAGTTAAATTACATTTAATGTGTTGACAAGCAGATGACAAATGTTCAGTTCAATTGTCAGCAAAGTTATCCAGAAGAAACACTCTTCATAAAAATCTTATATAAAATGTGCTAATCCTCCCTTGCCATACAACATGTGACAAACTAAGGGAGTTGCTATTGGTTTGAGTGACCATGTTATTAATCATCATGATATTTGGGGCCTTCTGGTTGGGGGCAGTATGACACTGCTAGACCATATAAACCTTGGAAGCACTAAACCCCATAATAACCAGATGCCTGCGGGGGTTCTTTCTGTGAGTGTGTGTATGCATGGCTGTCCTACCCAGCTTTGGCCACACTGATAGACTGCTGCTCCATAGCCTCGTGGATGCTGATGCGGTCATGTTCCTTGATGCTGTTGAACTCATCGATGCAGCACAAACCTCCGTCTGACAGCACCAGGGCTCCAGCTTCCAGGTGCCATTCTCCTCCATCCTTCACCGCTGCCACTGTCAGTCCTGGTAGTGTCAACACATTCAGTCAATCCAGGTATACATGTCAGGAATAATGTCACAGCTGGATCTGGAAAAACTCCATGCTTTTATCTTCAGTAGACTCGACTACTGTAATGGTGTCTTTACAGGTATCACTAAAAATGATATTAGAACGCGGCTGCTCGAGTCTTCACTGACACTAAGAAAGTGGATCACATCACTCCAGTTCTGAAGTCTTTACACTGGCTTCCTGTCTGTCAAATAATTCATTTCAAAATACTGCTGCTGGTTTAGAAAGCATTGAAAGGTTTAGGCCCAAAATACAATTCTGCTTTTCTGTATTAGCTTGTTTTATGTTTATTGTATTCTCTTTGCCTTTTAATGACTGATTTTAAATGCCTTTTTATAATGTGTTTCCGCTGCACTATTTCTTAATGCTTTTTATGTCTTTCATTTTTGTAAAGCTCTTTGAATTGCCTAGTGTTGAAAGTGGCTATAAACAAACTTGTCTTGTCCTTCATGAAATGAAGATTGGTTTGTATTTTAACTTGTAAAACTCTTTATGTTATAATATCAGATCTCGATGACACATTCTTGATTAATAGTTAATATGAGACACTGAAAACCAACCTGCACTTGTTGATCCAATGCCAGCAGTGAGCACGGAGCGAGGCATGATCTTAGCGGCGTACTTCAGGAACTGAGACTTCCCTGTACCGGGGTCGCCCACCAGCAACAAGTGACACTCCCCTGGAGACCAGATCAACTCATTTTACAATGACTAAAACCAACTTACAGCAAATACATTTTCAAACACAATTTCCATATTGTCATGGCCAGGGGTTGTCATTTGTTGTTTCTTATTGGTTGTCAGTCTCCGGGGGGCATATCTTATCTGATACGAGCCTGAGAGAGGATTCTCCCAAAATAGCTGTATACGCCATGTTTTTTTTAGTCCACACAGTGTACACCCCACACAGTGTACACCCCACACAGTGATTGGGTTTGATCCTTAGAGTAGATCTAATTAGCTGCTGAGCTAACCAACTAAGCTGAATGCTAGCATAGGCTGATCTCAAGATTTACAAAGGGTTACATTCAATGTATATTAGTTAGTCTGTATCAGTTACATAGCCCAACGGTTACTTACTTCATTTGAAAACCTGTGAAGAAAAAATATGTAATATTTGCACATATTTGCTTGTAATTGTGTAACGTGTTAAGTGTTTTTTGTTTGAATTCATTTTAACTGACTCAGCGTTTAAAGCACGGTGTACAGTCGTTTCCAGAAGATAACAATAATTCTATAATAATTAATGAATACAGAAATGAATTACATTTGTGCTTTTTCATTTTACTATTGTATCATCAAAACAAACTGGCTTTAAAAGTGTTAAAATTGTGAAATTGAATAAAAGTGTGATAGTTGTTATCAGGATTTAAGTTTGTTAAAATATTAACTTAGTGAAGATAATATTAATTAAGTCAGTTTTTTAAAACAGACATTTGTCCTCTTCCATCAGATAAACCTTTATCCCCTTGTTAAGGGGTACAGAAGGGTTCATGTCAACAGGAAAGAATAGGGGTACCTCTGATCTTTGTTCCAGAAGAATCTATCCTCTGCACACCGCCAGCCAACACCATGGCAACCGCCAGCTTAATCACGTACATGCCAAACACCTGCGGGCACAGACTCAACAAGACCTGATTCCTTCCTACAGAGAGAAAACAGAGAATAACATTTCATATAAGTGAACAAATTAAAATAATAGCTGTAGAGTGTAGACTTTTGAGGGGTATGAGCCACGTTCTTTATTACCGGCTATGGGATCATGTTGGTAGTTTTCCCAGAAGTCTTCAAACTCTTTGTGAACATCCTTCATGAGCAGAGCATTGGATGCCTGCTGGTTGTTCACCTCGATGTTGTTAGCTTTGAGCACCAGCTCCACATCACAACGGGCCGCATCATAGAAGGGCTTCCAGCGCTGACACATCACCCCGTAAACCGTCACATCGTCTCCTGAGAGCCACACAGCACACAGTTACTGACCAGAGCTGGGAGAAGTACCCATATGTTATACTTAAGTAAAAGTAGAAGTACTAGAGTGTTCTGAATACTCTATTATAAGTAAAAGTTCAGCATTTAAAATGTTACTCAAGTAAACGTATAGGCATCAAAATATACTTAAAATACCAAAAGTACTCAATTTGCAGATTGGCCCATTTCAAAAGTATATGTATTATATGTTTTAATATTCAAAATGTAGTCATATTAATGAAGAAGAGTGTAAACCTATGTACGAGAATGTTCTCTTTGGGATCACTGTCAGGTATTTGGCGAGGTGATTGTGAATTTGGCTGGCAGAGAACTCACAGCTCCATCGTTTCACTTTTGATAACTGGACTTATAACTTACAGCTGGACTTTTCATCACCCTGTACATTCTAAATTTATATTTAATTTCATGTGCCTTTCCTTGTTCACTTAATGCATATACTATCCTATTTTTATATGGTGTTAGCTGTCATTTGGCCCTTCTTAGTGTTTATTTGTCAGACAATACATTTCTATCTTTCAGGGTCATCTTTCAAGATCTTTTAAACTATGTGTAATGCCTTGTTTTAACATGCTGTAACAAGAACATTTCCCAATTTGGGATTAATAAAGTATATCTTATCTTATATTCATTTCCACACGGCCCCAAGGCTGTTTAGAGGAGCTGGTATTATGTGTCATCTGTCAAACTTTATTTACAGTGTTCACATTATTTACAGTCCTTACCAGATTTACAACTGTCTACAAGGTCATCCTCCAGAACCACCACCACGGACCGAGGGATACTGCCCACCGACAGCCTCTGCACCTGTAGCGATGTTGGGGGGGGGATTAAAATCCAAAGACACTGCAAATGATTGAGATGAAAGAAAAAGCAGTAACATGTGAATCTGTCCTACCTGCTCTTGGATCTTGATCTCCTGGAAGTCCCTGCATACGGCCGGCTCTGACCCTCCGGACAGACAGGTGAATTTGAACGATTCACATCCATCAGGACTGGGACAGGCCGACGGCGGCACAAAGGTGTAGAACTGGTCAAAATCTGCCTGCGCCGTGAAGACGTGGCGACACTTGGAGCACATGTAATCACGCTCGTACTCAAGAACCTTTGAAAAGAGGGGGACGGATTTTTGTGAGCTCAAACAAGTGTGTGTGTGTGTGTGTGTGTGTGTGTGTGTGTGTGTGTGTGTGTGTGTGTGTGTGTGTGTGCATGTGTGTGTGTGTGTGTAAGTAACAACAACCGTTAGGAAGCGATATTATTGAATAAAAAAATGAATAAAGCACACATTTCGGCTATTTTAAATTATAGTTTAGAGTGCAGTTTACCACATCCGCTTCTTTATTCACAAAAGATACATACACTATGTCAGTAAATAAATACCCCACTGGTGAATGTCCAAAGCTTCTATGTGTCATAACAACAGTGGTTACTAACAAGCGACTAAATGAGACTGCCCTCACACTGAACATTAGCCACCTTTAGCTTAGCGGTGGTGATGCGCAGCCATGCCAACGCGCCGTTAGCTTTTGACTTCTGTTGATTACATTTACGCTTGAAAAATCACAAAGTGGTGTTGATATGTGGAGATTATCCTGCTGTACAAAACATGACGTCATCACTGCACCACTTGATTACAGCAACTTGGTGAAATCTGAAGATGTGCCATGCTGTTACCTTGGCAACACTGGTGCGTATGACAGTCCCAGTGACAGACAGAAAGTGTCCCACGTCTCTAGACCTGGGAATAGTGTCTCTGGTCAGCTCTGGACACACTGGCAGACCTGGAACACGTAGCAGAGTCAAAGAATAACAGAAAGGTTTCATTAACTCATTCAACAGGAACATCTGAATTTAACACTATGACATTTCTAAAAACACTAACAGGCGTTTGTTAGGCATGTTTCAATCTTATTCTTGTTGCTGCTTAAACACCTGAATTTCGCTACGGGATCAATAAAGGTTTATCTTATCTTATCCATGTAAAGATTCAAACGTGCCCCTGAGACAATGTTTAAAAAATGCGATAAATACTTAGCCAAGTTAGTTATTAAATAATTTCCATATTCTCATTTTAAATTATTTTAGGCTTTTGAAGGACTTATTTTGGTGAGCTCATGCTTGTGTTTTATTTTATTTATTTTTCAACTAATGTTATATTAATACAGACAATTTAACAAAAAGATTACAAGAATACAAAGTTAGTTTGAGGTTGAAAAGCAGAAATACAGCTTATAATGAATAACCCCTTCTTTGAGTTATCCAATTTCATTGTTTTTGGTCAAAGGCCTCAAATATTATAGCAAAATAATGACAAAAGTAATGGTAAAGAACTTTTAAAAAGTAAAAATGTTTTATTAATTTGTCAGCAATCATCTAATCGTGAATAATCTGTGTTAATGCAGTTTTGGGCTTTAATGCACGTTTCCATTTCAAAGCATGATGCTATACCCGCAACACCAACAGTAAACAGCTAGTCATTTCTAGTCTGCAACAAAGTACACTGCATAGGAATACATTATTTCGCCACAGACTGAAAATGAAGGTCAGAAGAGAGGAGAAAGTCATAGTATGTGATACTCTGCTAGCTCTGAACACGTGAACATGATTCCGGGCAGTGTGTGACCTGTGATGCGGGCGTGAAGAGTGTGTGTCATTCCCTCTTTGACTCGCTGCTTTGGAGAGGCTCTCTCTGATAACTCCACGGCTGTTTTTTGCAGCACTTTATCAAATATAGCCAGGACATCATTGGGATAGGCGTTGAAATAATCCCCAACCTGAGGTTTAATAGAGGGTGAGAAAGAAATGACCAAACTACAAAACATAGATTTTACATATATTTGTACATTTCATAGTGTTACGCAAACACTTCTCGATTTTGAACACAGTAGATTGTATTTGAATTGTGCTTACATTACCTCCATATTGGCTTCAAACAAAGTCATGGCGTTAACAACCACAGCGCGATGGGTCTCTTCATCAGAGTCAGCGAGTAGGTGGAGGATGTCGCCATGGTGATGCTCTGTCAGGTAGCTTTCAAACACTCGGCCAATCAGGGCTTCCTGATCCGGGCTTATCAACATAGTGACGTAACGTGATGTGAAACCTGGAAAATAGTCATGAGCAATGTAATGGTCAAGGTGTGACATTTGTGTTCCCCGTGGACATACAAATCTTAAAAATGCTTAACAAAGTTCATAACAAATTAATTAATCTTATAAATATGTACATGTCTATTCAACAATAAGATAACTGTGCATGGACTCTACAGCAGGGCTTTCATTGGAAATCAATACAACAATTGTCTGGCAGGAATTTCCTTTTATTATATTAATATACACTCTCCGGCCACTTTATTGGGTAAACCTTGCTACCAGGTTGGACATGGTAAGTTTGAGGCCTTTCGCCCAGAGAACTGGTGGATAGTTTCTCTTTTTCTGACTCTGTAAACCCTAGAGATGGTTGTGGGTGAAGATCGCAGTAGATCAGCAGTTTCTGAAATACTCAGACCAGCCCATCTGGCACCAACAACCATGCCACGTTCAAAGTCACTAAAATCACCTTTCTTCCCCATTCTGATGCTCTCTTTGAACTTCACCAGGTCATCTTAACCATGGGTGTTTCTCAATGTCGAGTACGCTTGCTTGGTAGCGAGCATCTTGCTTCAGAAGCTAGGCAAGAATCCTTCCTGGCATTCGGAAAACGAAGAGTGGAACAGGCTAGCAAGTGTGCAGGTGTGCGTCATATGAGAGGCCCCGCCTTACATTTTCCGCCACAGATTTGGGGTCCGTGCGCAATGCATTGTGGGGATTTTAAGACCGCAGAGTCTACACACCATGGTCTACACATGTGCAGCCTCTAAATTTATCGCTACGAAGTATGCCGGGCTCGGTAGAATTCCAAGTATGCTGGCCATTGGAACAGTCCTTCGGCGGCACTCGATGACGTAGTATGCTTGAAATAGTGGCTCTGCTCTGGAGCAGCTTTGCTCGACATTGAGAAACACCCCATGTCTACATGCCTAAATGCATTGAGTTGCTGGCATGTGATTGGCAGATTAGATATTTGCGTTAAGGAGCAGTTAGGTGTACCTAATAAAGTGAGTGTAGATTTTTCTGTTTTATTTCTAGATATATATTAGGAAGATGTTTTACCAAAACAATATTTTAAAATATGGAAAACGTTTTCAAGAGACCACATTAACGTCTCGATTCATTTTTTTCAAATCAAACCAAAATACCAATTTCCAAAGACATTCGGTTAACTAAGAAAGAAAAAGCAACACATCCTCTCATTGCTGAAAGTGGTGAAAGTGAATCTGCTGCATTTTTGCTCGAAAATAAAAAAGTATTGTTTTTTTGCCATCAATTTACTGACTTTAGATGTTAGTTAAGAAAATATGATCAAAAACTACCCAATAAAAACGCTATGTCAGTGTTATTCAATAATATATTAGAATGACGTATGCTTACAATAGACAACACTTTGATTGTTATGGAGTATTTATACTTGGTACTCTAACAATAAAGCATGAGTGATTTGACAATCCCTCTCTGGCATATGACACCGAGCATACAGTTTAAAGAATGAACATAACATTGCTCACTGCATAACAATAACATGTTCGATTTATTAACAGCTGTTGTTAATCAATGTGAATACATTTTTTAATCACACAGCGATGTGTGTTTCTAAGTACAGAAGTTGGAAAAGTACTCAGATCTTGTAGAACTACCAGAGTGTAGGAATACTATGTTACAAGTCAAAGTCCGGCATTCAAAATGTTACTAAAGTAAAAGTAGAAGAGTATTATCATCAACATATACTTAAAGTACCAAAAGTAGTCATTGTGCAGATTGGCCCATTTCAGAATAATATATATGATATTTTTTATAATGATTGATCATGAAAGTGTTCTCAAAGCTGGTAAAGGTGCAGCTAGTTTGAATGACTTTTTATACTGCAGGGTAGCTTGTGAATTTACTCCAGGTGGAACTAAAGTCTGATTTAACACTTGATTATATTTCACATCATTCATCCACATCTGTAAAGTAACTAAAGGTATTAAATAAATGTAGTGAAGTAAAAGTACAATATTTACCTCTGAACTGTAGAGGAGAAGAAGTACAACGTAGCAAACATGAAAATACTCAAGTAAAGTACATTATCTAAAATGTTTACTTTTTTTTTTTG